TGGGTTAAAGCTCTTCAGTTATCCGAAGTCATCATGAAGCTTTGCTCTATCGTAGAAAGTGCTGAGGCGTATATGCGTCCATGTCGGTGATGGCCTCCAGGTGCTCGCAGTGAGCGACGGCGACTTCCTAAAAGCAAACTACACAGAATATGCTCTCAATACTTTCTTTTGCGTTCGTTTTGCTTAATTTCTTTTTTTTCAGTTTCAGCAAAAAAACCAAAACCCAAAAGTGAAGGTGGTTACCCTGTGCCAGCTCAAAAGTGAAGGTAGGCGAAGAATCGGCTCCGACTATCCCACCTCTGCTTATGTATGCTGGCGGCGTCCACGATCTCATCATTCTTCTGCGTCAAGCTTGGTTGTCTTCCTCATGGTACAGACTTTTGAATTAAATCATTGGAGTCATTGAGAGTTCAAAATTACCTTGTGTAACCCGGTAAGAGGATAGTCAGTGAAATGAACAATGTTCTAAATTTGTGCTCATTCTAGTACCAAGTATGGGGTATGAAGTGATTATGTTGGTGTATACAGAAATTAGAATATCAATGTTGGTATCTATCAGTAATGGACCGAGGGAGGGAGGGGGAGGGACAAACTCTGAGAATGGTCGGCATGACTCAAAAATTGCTCAGCTGGATCCTTTTCGCCTAATTATTCCAATAATTCTGCAGACTTTTTTAGGTCTCTGTGGTTAGCGCGAAGCCCCAATTTTGTTTTGAGGGAGGGGAATGTGCCGCAAGAAATTTTCAAAAAAGCATCCCAAGAAATTTCCTAAAAGTCTAATGCTACGGCCATCTATTCGAAGAAAGAATTCCCCCCCCCCCCCCAAGGCTTCTCGCCACTGGTTAATACAGTTTTTCGACCATAGCTGAAATTAATATTTTATCCACTCTGACTTTGAAAGCACAGGAGAAACTCGAGCAAACGGTCCTATTTGTTTTTTGCAAACAGGTATTCTTGCAAAATTATATGTCAACACAGTTTTCGCAGAATTTTCCATTCTTTATGGTTTTCTTCTCAAGGCGTATCGCATTGTAAGCCAATTTTTATTAAGATTATTTGCCGCTGCACGGAATATGTGGTAGTATAAACTGACGAGATATATAACACACAATACTAAACATTCAGCGTTATGTTTGCACACCTGAATATCCACTGCTTCCACAAAACACATTTATAGCAACTTAGCACTTCCGCTCCGTTACATGTTTGCTAAGTTCTATCGATTTCCATTTGTCATTGTAACAACATGTCGCATCAGTCGAACGACCTTGTCTCATCGTCATCTGCATTCTCCACTGTTCTATAAATATCTTTGACAACTTTGCCTGTACATTCGGGAATGAGGAAATAAGCATTCTGTGCAGTTTCGTTGATGTGAATCATATGCTTGTGGCGTGAACACATCCTCTCTTTCAGAATTTCACTTCACAATCGTCTATTTATACTTTCTTGCTGGCCTTTGGGTTGATAACAATCAGTATTCGAAAAGTAAGAGCTTTCAAAATCATACATAATTTTTTCTTTTTTCTCTGCCAAAAAATCCCGTAACAGTGCGAATCTCGAAAAAATTGACAACGTACCGATTTTACACATTCTCCCTTCGTCACCCCTTTTTTACTACCTCTGTCTTCTCACTGAAATTGTGAACAGTGAACAGCTACGAACAGATTGTAGCGGCGCCTTCCCATTGCTTCATATGCTTTTCCTAAGCATGTTTATAGCAAGTGCCAAAAGAATCGATTTTTTTAATTTGGTTAGGTTTGCTGTTGGCGATCTTAGCGCTATTTTCAGTAACCACCTTGCACACGACGATATCGATAAGAATCGTAATGAACTTCTAAGCAATTTCTTACTGGGTTTCCTGCATTGTTCTAGTTTGAAACAACCTGATAAAATCGTTGCATCTGTGCCAAATCTATATCTCAAAATAGATTCAAAACATAAATTGTTGATAATCAATGTATCAGCAACTTCAACAATTCTATCATCCTAATAGCTTACGGTTATTCTCCATAGGCTTTATTCCCCAACGCTTATATTTAAGTGCCGAATCACTCACCAGTGAGTGGCACCTATCTCCCAGGGGCCACGCCAAGCCGCATCATCCTCTTCCTTGCCTATTTTTCTTAAACAGTCTGATTGTGCACGGGTTAGCTCCGCCTTACTACCTATATAAGAGGCCTCCGACTGTACTGGAGGTTGCTCTCCCCGATTCAACACGGGTTCGTCTGAATAAATTATATCAACGACTCCACTATCTACTGCAAGACATTGATTTCCACCAAATAAATGTTAAAGGTCAGAAACCCGTGAAAATACAACTAATAATAATCTCCTAATTTCGATCAATGTTCCACCAAAAGCGTCAAAATTAAGCAAGTAATAACTTCAGATAGCCAGTAAACTAGAACACTTGGTCCGGTACTTTTGAAAAATTTGCATAGCTCTAAACTGAGTTGTCAAATTGGTGACCTTTAGAGAAAGCGCGCCTTTTCCACTTCCCATAAAGCTGGCTATGGATTTGCAATCCGCCACTCAATCCAAACTCTCCCACGTAAGAGTGGTGAATTTGGACGGAAGAAACTTCACAGCAGAAGAATAATGCGAAACATGCCAGTTATTGCTTCATGACTTGGTAGCGAAGTCGGGACAAAACTGCATTTCATGCAAGCTCAATTATACAACGGTTTATGCAACTATTATATTTCCCTTTGATGACTATTTCCAAAGATGTTTCCCTTAGGTTTTCACTCGAAGTCCATGATCTGTGGATTTCGGATTATGGTTCTTAACGAACCGTACGATAGAGAAATCCTAGGTGCAGCCAGTTTTGTTTGTCAAAAACGCACAGGATTCGTTCTTATGCATATGCGCCTTCTTTACTTTTCTTCTCTTCTTCTCTCTTCTTCTTCTTTTCTTCTTCTTCTCTTCTCTTCTCCTTCTATCTTCTTCTCACACACCCCAATCGGGAATTATCATAATTTTGGAAGTGGCAAGGCTTCTGTTAAACTTTGTTGTGTTTTGACTCGAACTTAGTGTTTGTGTTTAAATCGCTTGGTTGTTTTTATTTTTTCTTGGTGCATCTAGAATGTAAATCAAAATAAAATAAAATATAATGAAGCTTAAGAAGCTAGCGTACGCTATGCAAAAGATTGGTTCGGGACCTTCGCTCTAACTCGACCTACGATTTTCGTGACAGGTCTGACTAAGAGACACGAGCAGGGCCCGGCACAGATGGTTCGGGGTCAAACTAGACTTCGTTTTTGAGGTTAGAAGCAACGGAGATATCGTTTTCATAAGGTCCTAGGCGAAGCACCGAAAAAAAAAACAAATATATCAGGTTTTACTATTGAACGTATTCTTTGGCGAGCGAGTGAATTTCGAAAGTAAGACCCAGACAAACAGATGACTTGTTTACACCGCACAAACCACATGATGCCGAATTTGGAGTATGTATACACAGTATTACTCCAAACAACATTATGTAAAAAGTTTCAAAAACTTGTATGTCCTAACACCCGTTCCCGAATTTGTTGGTTTCTAGACCAACACCAAGCCAACTGGGTTGGTTCGGAGCATAAATATTGGAGAGTTCACATAAGTTCTGGACCTTTTTGAGTTGGACGAAGAGAAAGCTTCAAAATCTATCATTTAGCGAAGAGAGCGAATTTTCTCCTTTTTTTTGAGCCAAAAATAGTGTCAACCAAAGCACTGATAGACATCGCGCTCCAATCACATGCGGTGTCCTTTGAACCATGTGGCGAGAAATGCATCGCCAGATTGTTGAGGTCACAAATTTGGTTGGCCTAAGAGGTTTTCAACGTTCTGAACACTAAAATGGTATCATACTCAAAAACTGAATCGACTCAGAAAGTTTTTTTGCTTTTTATATTAGGTACATTAAAACTGCCTTTTTTTCGCTTTTATATCGTTATGTTTTGTTATGTTGATTAAACAAGGGTTTCCCTGCCGACTTTTATGTCAAAAGGGACTTCATAAATTTTCGTAAGTTCGTAGGGGACTTTCCAAAAATGCTCCAAACCGACGCATGCCGAGCCCTGGACACGCACACTCTTTGCGTATACATTTATAGAATGGTGACGACGGATTTTACTGCGGACTTCGCGCCCACAGGAGCATAAAGCACTCATACAAGAAGGCATTATCTCAGGTTCAGTTCAGTCACTTCCAATGTCTAAATAATCTTATACGTAAGCAAAAAAACCATTCGCTAGAGACGAAGACCAAGAAAATACGATTTTCGAAGGGGGCGTGCGCGTCGCGCGCGCTTGCGCCATCGTCACGATTTTCCAAATGCCCTATACATGATTGAAAGTTTATGAATGCGTTTTGTAATTCTAAGCATTTTGGATGATTCATCCTCATGAATTCGCCAAGGAACATGTTCCTCGTTAAACAACACAAACAAGTTCGAACTTGTTTCTTTCATGAATTCTGAATGGATTTACCAAAACGAGTGAACGCGCTCATGAACTTGCTAATCAGAGACGTACGCAAAAAGTGCTCGTGTTTCTTAGTCAGACTCATGCACAAAAAAGACAGACAGCTAACGCATCATTGTTGAGTCATGTATAGTCTTACAGTGTTCAAAGCCTTTGATATTCAAATCTTCCCTGTAATTCCACAGAGTACAGGAGAATAAACAATGATAGCAAATAAAGTGCGATGTAAGATTTAGTAGAAACAAATCCCCGGGATTAGCGAATGGGAGCGAGACCACTAAATCCAGCAAAGCCTAAAAACTCCACAAAAAATAATAGATTGTGTGTGTTCTAATGACTGTAGTACTGCTTCTGTGTTTATGTCGACCTTCTAACGTTAATCAGAACTGGCAACCCCTAATATTCTGCGCTTTTGGTTTTTTTTTTGAGTTTCAATAATTTAGCATACAAAGACCTGCTTATAGAGAACTTTTTTGTTTAGGCATGCAAAAATTCATATGAAACTGCACCAGTCGGTACAACCAGAACATACGAGTTATGGGTAAAATTAGACGAAACGAGAGGAAGTACCAATTTGGTTGGCGAGTGGTTACCAGTCTTGGAGAACTGACTCCGCTGCTCTACGCAAACTCGCATGCTGTAACATTTACAGTTTTGACACTTTTATGTGCCATAGGAAGTAAGTTGTTAACAACTATCCGAGAAATATTATGATAACTCCGTAGGCATTTAGTTCAGATGAGATTGCGGCTCAGAAGTCCGGCACAATGACTGGTCGTTTCTACAAGTGTTTACTAAATAGGGATAAGACAGCGTTTTGGAGTACTTTTGCCTTAGCAACGGGCATATATGGCGGACAGTGTTTGGTCAGGGATTTCCAAAAGTTTCGTGCAACGATTTTTCTGAATTATAGTTGCTCGCTGGGGTTTCACTGTTTTCATGGTGTCTTTATTTGCATTTTCGCAAAAATCTTGTCATATCACTCCATCGGTTTTACTTCGATCACAACTTATACTACACTCTGAACAGCATAGACGATAAGGGAATTGATAATACGTAAGTGAATTTGATGTAACAATTTTTCTGATTCGCTCCAATTATCTCATTTTCAGAGATCAGCGTATAACGCAAGATGTGGAAAAGCTATGTAAATTGCTGGCTACAAAAATAACGCCATCGTTATTGATAGCACCTTTTGTCATAGGATATTACACTTATAAAACCTGGCAAACGTGAGTAAGCATTTTTGCCGTAGACTGAGGAGAGGAAGATGCGTCTGCAGCAGGGCTCGGCCCAGAGAATTTTAGAGAGAAGTCCCCTTTGATGTTGAAAATCTTGAACAAAGTCTTTGAAGAACCATCATTTCAAGAGTTCGATGAGAGGTCTGAAACGAAACAAATAGAACAATACGAAGAACAATACAAGAATAAATAATACAAGATTACAAGATTACAAGAACGACATAATGAGTTTGACCGATTGATAAAACTATCGACGATTTCGCGCTGCATTTGCTTAGAGCGCGTTTTGTGACTGGAGCACATTTTTCAATGCGAAGCAGACAGAGAAGTTTCTTTAGATGGAAAACGCCGAAAGGAAAACATTATGAAATTGCCTTTTCACCGTAATCTTTTACAGGGTAGATACAACTTGTGTAACAAAGTATGAAAAATTATGTGAGCAAAGAGTCGATGCCAGCTCAGTTTTTTTCTGAATTAGCTGGCACGGTGCCAGCTAATTCAGAAAAAAAGATCAGCACAGATTTCATTCACATACGTTTTAATAAATACTTGGGCCATTGTTCGAGTCCCCCCCCCCAGCGCATGCACACACCAAATTTGGTGTCATATGATTGCCCTTTGTTTGTAAACAAGGCATTTGTTTCTTTAAGGCAGAATCAAAAGAAACGTAAAAACCCTAAAAAACGAAAACTTGCACTTGGGTGTATTTTCGGTTGAAGAAACGATATCCCCTCTGCTTTTTTGTCCCAAAAACGATATCCAGCTTGACCCGGTGTCAGCTGCGCCGAGCCCTGATCTGCAGTAATAAACCCTTAGAAAAGCAGAGGTAAGGAAATATTAGCATTGCGCTCGAAAAGCAATAAGATATTGAAAAAAATTTCTTTCCTTTTTTGTGAACATAGCATCACTTCCTTATTGATTTGAAACCGTATAAAGTAGAAATCATGCCTGCATCCACTGTAATTCTTTGTCCCTCAGGCTTTTTGGTATTATCTTCATCGTCAAGCAATGTGCCTATATTCACCTGTCCTGTATTTCGGAAGCGCTCTTTGAGTTGTCTTTTTGGAAGCCTATCCTTTCGAAGAAGAAATCTGTGCTAATTGACTTTTGTTCTTGACGACTGTTTCGCTTCTTCATCATATTGTGAGATATCTTCAACTTAAGGTAGCGAATTGAATGAACCGCACACCATTAGATGCGTCTCGATAGGCTGATTCCAAATCTTTCTTCCTTATCTGCGATGCCGTTATCTGCAAAAAGTTATGAGCGGTTGAAAATGCGGATTCTTTGTTTTTTAATGCATGATATGCTTTGAAATCCAACTTGGAAGTGCACGACTAGCATGATATTGAGTGTGCTGATTTCAAGGAATGCTCAGATTTTAAAAAAACATAGATAAGTGTTTTTGAACAGCTAAAAAGCAACTAAGTTCACTGGTAAAAGCTATGAGCAATGAAAAGTTCAAATTTGGCAAATAAACAGCGCCATACTTCGAAAATTAATTTTTTAAAAACACTTATTTGTGTTTCCTTAGATTGTGAGCATTCCTCGAAATCAGTACACTCAATATCATGCTAGTCGTGCACTTCCAAGTTGGATTTCAAAGCATATTATGCATTAAAACCCCGATAACTTCACATTCTCAACCTCTCATAACTTTTTGTAGATAACGGCATCGCAAATATGGAAGGTAAATTTGGAATCAGCTCATCAAGAGGCATCTAATGATATGCGATTCATTCCAATTCGCCACTTAAAGTTGAGATCGTTCCCTGGTAGTAATTTCGTTAAACTGTTGACGAGCACTCCCAGAAGTATATTCGAGTCTAATTATTCGCTATCTTGAGCCGTTGTTTTCTATCACATCGTCAAAGGAGAACAGAGGCGGAACACTCTTCCAAAAGACTGCTATTGTTTTTGCTGGAACCATCGGGTTTGAAGCGATCCTTCCTGAACTCTTACGCTGCTTCCTTGGAGAGGAATATTTTTCCTCTAATAGGGGTCTTTATTGGAGCAAGTTCCACTCATAGTTTCAGCGCTGGTGGATTTGGGGTAGGAATAATCTACGGATATTTCTTTATTGGTACTGTGCTTAATCGTGTCCTGATCTCTCCAGTAACAAAATGGGCTGCCAAAGTGGAAAAGGCTGAAGGAGATTTCCGGTCAGCCACTGCTCAAGTTCTCATTTTTTTTCTTTATAGCCTTTTATTTAAGATACAAGCACGTCTCCGTCCGCGATAGAGCTGAAGAAAGTGCTTTCTATCGCGCTGCGAATTTTGAAAGAAATGCAAGCAACGAAGTTTTTATGTTTTTATGGAACAGACAACTAAGATTTGTGTTATGGCAATTTCCAGCTCAACGTAGGCCTATTTGAACATAACAAGTTTAGCACAACAAAATATTACTGTAAACACGGCTATTTCAGTTTTGCAAAATCTTTTCGACTATTATGGTGCTGTGCTATCCTATGCTATTCAGATCTTTCCAATTTTCATTTTCAATAGCTATGCTGATCTCGACGACGCTTCACTAGGAGAGAAGATTAGTAATGTGAGCAGTCAAAATGGATTTTCCCTCTTCAACTCTTTTCTTCAGAACGCGTTCTTCTATATTTACTTAATCCACAGCTTTACGCGACTAGCGGATCTTGCTCTGAGTATTGGAGAACTCGGGGGTTACATATTGAGGTTGACATTTCAATAACAATGGCTCAAAAAAAACGGGGATTTTAGGGTTTGTGAAATTGTGCAGTACTCGCAGCAACACTCTCAAGAGAAACTAGGATCCGATGGTTCTGATAATGAAGGATTTGTGGAGTCTGATGAAAACAATGCCGTTGACGCGCAAAATGTCACATTTAGCATAAGAAATTTATATTTCACCAAACCATCCGATAAAGATGACATCATAGTCTCCGGTAAGAAGTCGTAGGATACCTGGTTTAGCCCCATTCGTAATCGACAGCTTCCAGATTTGAATCTGGACATTGCTAGCGATAAAAATCTAATAGTCACAGGGCCTAGTGGTGCGGGAAAGTCATCGCTACTGAGGGTCATGGCTGGCTTATGGCCTATCAAATCAGGTGCGCCACATTTTACCAACAATGGATCGCGCTGTTCCAAGATTGCATCTGTCATTGAGCTGTGCTAGCGCCGTGCCATAATCGTTCCAGCGTCATGCTAACGCCGTGCCGGAATCCACCTGAAAGCACCGCTTATTGATCCGTTAGCTTCCACTGGCACGGCCCTAGCATGGCTTTGTAGGGGACCGGTCATACTATTCCTGGAGGTGATTCCTGCGACTCCTGTAATTCCTGCAGTTCTTATGATTCCTCGACTTCCGATGTGTCACACTAGGGAGCGCTTTGCCAATTTCAGTATACACTGCCTTTCCGCAAATATGCATTGTTACGGGACCTGCAAAAATCACAGGAATCGCAGGAATTGCAGGAATCACAGGAATAGTGCGGCCGGTGCCTAACGGCGCTGGTACCCGTATAGTGCTTGTTTGATATAGCGTAGAAGAGAAGGGGGTTACATCTACGTAATGCATTTTTATAAGAACTGAAGTTTTGCAAATATAATGCTGCTTATAAATCGGATAGAAGAGTTTCTGAACTTCACAGGAACTCGCTGAAATAGTGCCACTTGGCCATATCTTGGTTCATAGTCGTCAAATTCTGAATCCAAGGGCACTGTTAGACTCATCTCAGGATTTGCATCTTCTGATACATAGATGTGCCCGTTCGGACACAAATGAGGTCAGATTTCACAAATCTTTAGATTTTGAAAGAGCTAAGTCGAAGAATCCCTCCACTCCAAATTAACGTATGGCGATGAACGTGGATTTCGGTGAACTTTGGTGGAGTTCGATAACTTTTTGACCATTATAAGCGGACATGTTTTGCATCGACCCATATCAAACTTTTTTTCTACGATAACATCACGGACCCCAATAATCCTGTTTTTACTGATCTTCTTACCATAAAGTACAATCAAAAATAGAATAAAACGCAATAGTTTCATTCACATTTGAAATAATATAAATGCATCAATAAAAATAAATAAATAAATAAATAAAAATAAATATAAATAAATAAATAAAGTAAATATGTAAATGTAATATGATTAACCCACCAAAAACCGTTGAAATGTCAAAAAAATGTTTTTACAGGAAAGATTCGCCGTTTTTTACCTGCGAATGCTTATCTCTATCTACCGCAAAGACCTTATTTGCCAGTAGGACGTCTCTCACTTCGAAAACAAATTTGCTTCCCTGGCAATTCGAAAGAAGTACTGAGTGAACGAGAAGATGAAGGTAGTCGATCTCTCCGATGAATTTGAGACGCGGCGAGATATGAACGCCTTATAGAATCAAGAAAAATTCTGCAAATTCTTTCGGAGCTGCGTTTGATGCATTTACTTGAGACATGCGGTGGACTGGACGCTGAGGTTGATTTTGAATGGTAAAAAAAATTGGCAAAATATCGAATTTTTCTATAACCGAGAAATTGCAGGCAAGATACGCTTTCTCCAGGAGAACAACAACGGTTATCTTTTGCAAGGTTGCTATTTCGATGTCCCAAAGTGGCAGTGCTAGATGAAGCCACAAGCAGTGTGGATGTCGAGGACGAGAAGACTATCTATAATCTTCTCAAAAAGGTATTTTCCTTTGAAATTTTCTCCGTATTTTTCCTAGCTGCATTTCCCAAAATCACTTAATTTAGAACAATATTTCCTACATATCCGCCGGACATCGTCGTACTCTTTTGCAGTACCATGACGTTGAACTAAGTCTAGGAAGAGACCTTTGCCGAACGAAGCCTATTTTGGGGCAATTCGCTGACTCCTAATTACCTGGTGATTCAAAATGATTACGCTAGGAAACTGCAAATAAAATTTTAACGACTGAGAGAACGTCACTGAACAACTGAATTTATTCTAAGGGGATAGCGCCTCCATACATGAATTGCTCTAGTATATGGATGAAGGACAATTACTTGTTAAATAAATGGAATCGATGAAAAATAACAAAATGCTACACATGTTTTAAAATATGATTGGAAAGAATCAAATGATGGTAGATAATAAAACTGTAACTGTTTATCTAAAAAGGCGGGTTAAGTCGGATGCGAATAAAGTTGCGAAGTTACAACGCATACCAAAAGTTCGTTAAAGGCTCAAATCTATTTATTTTACCCTTTGATTCAACTGGATTGGAGGCTGGAAGGCGGGGGCTTCGCACCTAGTTGAGGCTAGAGAATAATCAGAGGGCAGCGCAGGAGAGAGATGCAGACTGCGTCACGGGCGCGAGCGGTCTTAATTAGGTCACAAAGTCCCGCCTTCTAGCTGCCAGTCCAGTTGAATCAAAATTTAGATACTCCATTAGCATGAAATAGAAACTTATACAAAACTTACTTCGCACACTTCCTTCTCGAAAAGTTATAAGGAAAATAATTCAGGATCTTTGCATTCCTAATGTGCCACACCCATTTCTTAAATAAATGGTTCTTAGTTGATTTTTGAGCACATCGTTGACACCATCTATGAGCAAAAGAATAAGCAAAAAGTGCAAAACAAGGATATTTCCGTCATTAATTTATAATGGTGGGCTCGAACATTATCGACAATATTCATAATCCTCAGTTGGCAGATTCAGTTGAAGCCAGATCTTGAACGAAGCTATTTTGCGAAACAGCACTCCGCATGAGCATGCAACTGATACAATCTGCCATATGATGAGATAGTTTGTGCCAGATGTGCGTTGTGGCACAGCCTATCGCTCTCAAGGACAATCTTCTTCCCCTATGGGTCCCATTGTCACACCTTACCCCCATTTTGTGTTCGTTCTTGTTCACCCCCGTGAGGGTGTGGGCCGATCCCAGAAGCAGTGCAACGCTGGGACGACCCGTGATGAGGTGCGAGCAAGCCCGCAACCTCATCCGGTTCCAAAAATCAAATAACCTTAACGAGACTCATTCGAGACTCTATCGAAGGTTAATTCGATAAGAACAGAAACTAAACTTTGATCTTAGCCAAAAGGCCGAGAAGCGATACCCAGGCTACTCAACACAAAGGGCAGGTGTACCGGTGCGTCGTACCTCGCGCAAGTTGCACAGCGTCGCATAGCGTGTGAGAATGCCAGCTGTGCAGCTCTGCCTCCGAAGTGAAGACTGGATGCAAGAAGTATAACAAGGTCTCCAAATAAGCCTTCATAAAATGAATTAGGAAAGTTCCCGAAAATAGCAGATTTTTGATTACCAAGACCTGCTGTTGGCTCTTTAGTTCAGATTTGTAACGATAATAATACTTATAACACATATTTGTGTATGTATTTGTATCCACTGCAAATCAGCTAAATGAACTTAACCTGCTCCAACCATGCAGGTTTTTTCAGTCAGGAAACATCACAGATCGATATGTAGTAGTGACCTCATTATATCTTTTCAGTGGTAACTAATCCACATTCAGAGTTCCAACGGCAAACTTTTGTCATTACCATGGGCAGAGACCGATAAAATGATCTTCCTTTAAACTTCGCAGAATTTTACTTGAAGCTTTTTGAATCTTGCACAATCTTGCATCAATCATCTTGAACCCTGATTTGCAGTTATTGTTGTGATGTTACGCATGGTTTGCTCACTTTCTAGATCAGCTTGTCTAATCAATTGTCAATGTTTGCTACACTAGCTATTTTGATAACCTCCTAACAATTCTCAATTGAAGAGCCAACAACAGGGATAGTTATGTTTTGGCGGAAGAGTTTGGAAACTTTTAGTTCACTTCATGGAGGCACAAATAGAGACATCTTATATTTCTTGCACTCAGCTCTCGTTTGAGAGGCACAACTGCCATTGCTGGCATTTTCACTGTGCGGCGCAATGCAACCCGCACAATGTACGACGCGCTGGTACACCTGCCCTCTGTGTTGAGTAGCTTAGGTATCGCTTCTCGGCCTTTTGGCTAAGATCAAAGTTTAGTTTCTGTTCTTATCGAATTAACCTTCGATAGAGTCTCGAATGAGTCTCGTTAAGGTTATTTGATTTTTGGAACCGGATGAGGTTGCGGGCTTGCTCGCATCTCATCACGGGTCGGCCCAGCGTTGCACTGCTGCTGGGATCGGCCCACACCCCCACGGGGTGAACAAGGACGAGTAAAGAATGGATAGGAACTTATATATGTTTCAGATCACATATTATGAGATATCGTTGTCGATAGATCGCCGGTGGACATCTGCCACAAACCATGCATCCCGCAACATTACGGCTCGTATCTTCTTTGCGCAGTTAGGACTGCTGCGATCGAAAAGTGACATTTCAAGTGACAATGAGTCGACCATCTAAGTATAACTGAAGCACTTACTAAATTTCGGGTCCACCATTTTATATATTAGTGACGAAAACATTCCTTTCAAAATTGACTGCATAGTGCTCGTTTACTAATGATTCGCACTTTTTGTTTACTCACTTCGTAAATATTGATTCCAGTCCTCTGTTGCATTCAAGACATTTTCGCGATAATATTAGCTCATCAATAGTAGTAGTTTTCTTTAGTTAATGATAAGATGATCGCAGAATTTTTTCTTATGCGTAGATCCTTAGTATAGCAAACGTGCGTATCATTTGATCTGCTTGTTAGCTGTGAACATCTTACACTAACTTTGTGTGTTTTTAGTTTATTCTCATTGGCATCTCAATTTGTTGCAAAGGAAGAAGCAGTCCGTTCGTACTTACCAGTTAATAAAATTCTGCACATTTTGTCGCGCTCACACAGCATTGCGATGATAGCTTATCAGAGCTTGTTGTCTTTTTCTTCACATCTATTGATCTCGAATTCAATTATTTGTTGCTCTAATGATTATTTTCCAAATCATCGAGCGCTGCAGAGCCATGTGAGAATTGTAAAGTTCAAAAACGATAGTTGCCGCCTTTTGCCTTATTGAGGCAGCCAGGATGCGCTAAACTTTAAAAAGTGAAATTTTCTATTGTTTTAAAGTTTGCAAAGACTATCATGGTAATTTCACACTTACGAAGCATGCTCAGTCAAAGTGGTTTTAGATGGGTTGTACATCATGTTGGAGGTCATAAAACGCTGGTTCCGAATTTACTGTCCTAATCTGTGGAACTTTATGGACAAGAAGGTATCTATTACGATCGTTTACCGGGTCATTCTGACCGTGCAAGTAGGACAACAAAATCAATCGTAATATTTCTTTTAGCGCTTTGATGGAGTCATAATTATCGTACGTGGTGAGAAAACTTTTTTCCATAAATTGGATGAAGAGCATATGTCGGAGAGATCCTGAAAGGGTTTTTAGAAATGTTCAAACCAGTTTCCCCCTTAGAATGACATCATGGCTGACTCTGTCTTACGATTTTCTAATAATTTCTCTAGCGTAAAGTGCAACATAATCATTAGAAGTAGAATTTAAAATTTGTGGATGTGTGCTAAACCATAATAGCCATCAAAAAATTCAAAAAATGCAGCTTGCAGGGAAAATTCGCCGTTTTTTACCTGCAAATGCTTATTTCTACCTACCGCAAAGGCCCTACCTGCCGGTAGGACGTCTCTCACTTCGGAAACAAATCTGTTTCCCAAACGATCCGAAAGACGTGCTAAGTGAATTAGAAGATGAAGGTATTCAAATTTTTCTGAAAGATCTGAAATTCAAGCGAGAGTGGGTATTTTTGAGAATCAAGAAAAATCGTGCAAATTCTTTCGGAGCTGCGTTTGACGCATTTACTCGAGACATGCGGTGGACTAGACACGGAGGTTGATTTTGAATGGTAAAATTGGCAAATTACCGAATTTTTCTATAATTGAGAGATTACATGCAAGATATCTCCCCAGGTGAACAACAACGGTTATCTTTGGCAAGGTTGCTATTTCGATGTCCCAAGGTGGCTGTACTAGATGAAGCCACAAGCATTGTGGATGTTGAAGACGAGAAAAAAAAGTATTTTGAAATGTCCTCTTTATCATTTTCCTAAAATCATCAATTCAGAACAATATCTCCTACATATCCGCCGGACATCGCAGTACCCTGCAGTACCATGAAGTTGAACTAAGTCTAGGAATGGACCTTTGCCGAACGAAGCCTATTTTGGGGAAATTCGCCGACTCCTAATTATCTGATGATTCACAATAATGTACGAACGAAACTGCAAATAAAATTTTGACGATAGAGATACGTCACTGAACAACTGAATTTATTGTTCAGGGGATAGCGCGTCTGCATGAATTGTTCTAGTGATGGATGGTTTGGGACACTTACTTGCTAAACAAATGGAATCGATGAAAAATAACATAATGCTGTACATGTTTCAAAGCCGTTGTACCACTGACGTTGGGAGCTGGGGGCCCAATCCGCGACATGGTGCATCGTACCGGAGTTGAGCATAGGGATGGCAAACCTATGTTCAGCTTTTGTGATCGAGCCTCACCTGTGTAGTCCACATGCGTACGCTTTGCACATCAGTGTCCCTAGCTAGCAGTGCAAATTTCACCTCCCCATCCTTTCATTTCGCATGTTTGCGCAGTGTATACATGCTTGGTTGTTGTGGTTTCTTCGAGAACTCATCTCTCGTCTCATCAGCAAGCTCCGTAGCGACTAGGCTGACGCGAATACGCGACTACCCACAGTTCCACTTAGATTGGGAGTAGGGTGATCCCGTAGACCTGGATGGCAGCAGCAATCTACGCCCTGCCTACTGCCCGGAACTGTCTGGTGCCTTCTGACGGCCAGGTTTCTCTGCAGCCATGGAGATCCCAGGTAGGAGTCTCTGTCTGCCCTGAAACACGCCATCATTCTTGATGGCCGGGTTTCTCTGCAGCCATCGAGATCCCTGGTGGA